CACAGTAACGGCCCTAGAATCGCCTCCATTTATGTAATAGTATAGTGAGGTATCTCCAAAACACCCAGCCCACTAGCGCAAGTCTTCCTAAAAGACTGTACCCCTGACCTGATCCACCTTGGCCACGTTGATGTTGCGGATCATGAGTACCCACGCAAACGAAATCGCCATAAGTCCCGTGCCAACTGCCAACATGCGCGTCTGCGCATAGCCATAAGCCTTCTGAATAGCCAGCCGCGTAGCACTGCCGACTGGGTAGCCCAGCTGTGTGTCGAGGTTCTCGTAGATGGCATCGATGTTGGACAGGGCCGAGCTAGGAAGGTACATGGTCAGTGCCTTCTTAAAGGTGTTTGTCCAGATGGCCCCGGAGATGGTTGCGCCGATGGCGTCGCCGACGGTGCCGACAACGTTCAGGAGTGCTAGTACCGCTGCGACGTGCTGATGGTCAACGGCAGCAAGGATGGCGAGCTGCTCGATGATGATAAAGATGCTGCCGCCGATGGAGATGAAGATCTGGCACATCACTAGGTATCCGACGGATTGGTTGGGGCGGCGGAAGTAGATCATTAGGCCCTGGGCGAAGATGTATAACGGGACGGAGATGTAGAGGAGCCATTTAAAGCGGCCGGTGCGGCGGATTAGGTAGCCGACTAGGAGTAGGAGCACGCCTGAGACTACGTCGAAAGTGTTCATGACGTAGCCCGATTGAGCGAGGGTCAGGTCGTTGACGACCTGCAGGAAGGAGGTGTAGTAGTTTGCCCAGCAGTAGTAGGACAGTTGGTATGTAGCGTCCAACAGACACGCGCCAATGACTGTGCGGTCGGTGATGAAGCTGAAGTTGAGCATAGGGACCGGGGCCACGAACGTTTCGTGCAGAATGAAGATGATGAGTACGACGCAGCCAACCACAATCATGGCGATGATGTATCCAGTTCCCCAACCGTTGGGGGCCTCACTGGCAATCTCGAAGGGGAGGAGGAACACGATGAGGCCGGCAGAGAACACGAGAACGCCGAATACTGCGTATAATTAGTTTCTGGTGAATTCAAGTGAATGGGAATTGAGTCTTACGATCGAACTCCTTGGTCCAATGCCAAATATTTTGTAAAAATGACCTCCCACTGCTCTCCTTGGCCAACAGGCCCTGCTTGTCGGCTTTGCGAACGTGCCACTTCAACAGACAGTACAGAGGGGCCGCAACTATCGGGAAGATGATGGTAAAGCAACCAAATCCCCATCGCCAGCTAACATTGTAATAGAAGTCGTCCGCGGCCTTGGGGCCTGCGAAGGCCGTGATGATGTAGGGCGACGACGTGAAGGCGTACGCCAAGCCTCGATTCTTTAGTTTGGAAGCATCGGACGTGATTACATCCACGCAATAGGTCATGCCTCCGAAGCCAATATTGTAAAACACCTGTCGGGCTGTTAGCACTGACTGACAGAGGACTAACCGGAGTGACAATCTTACATATGCAGCACAGAACATGGGAAGGTTCTGGCAGGCGGCCATCAGAACCAAACCCAGGGTTGCAAACACGGTCATAATTAGAAAGCCTTCGGCTCGGCCCCAGACGTCCATGACCTTGGCTAACGGGATGAAGGTAGCCGCAGACATGGCATCGGCGACCACATAGATGACGTTCAGCAGCGAGTGGGACTCCCATTTACTGGTGACGAAAGGGAGTAGGTTGCTGAGAATGTTCGATTGGAAGGCATTGACGAGGTACAGGAACCAAATACTAGGGGGTCCAGCATGTTAGTAGAGGACATACGTGGTTGAATTGAGGAACACACTTAATGAAAACTGCGATTAAGGACTTCTTAGACCAGGTCAAAGTCACGGCCTCGACGTTCTGAACACCACGCTGCGCCTCTTCAGTGGGAGCATCTGGCTGCGTCTCGTCCGGGACATGGTCCGCCGAGACACCACCAGCGGCATTTTCCTGTTTATTGTCCATAACGGTACTCCTATTGACCGAAGTCACGTCGTCATCCGTTGTCTGTCGACTAAAAGCAGCTCGAAATCTGCCCATGGTGAACGAAATGGTAAACAGACAAAAACTGAAGACAGTAAGGAACAAGGAAAGCTTTGTCCTTAACTACAGTTGAATACATTCGGTAAAATTAGATTGTCGGATTCCTGCCGACTTCGGAATACAATGGCATGAGACTAGCGTCATGGAGTTCTCTTTTTAATCTACGATTGGCGAGCAAGAGCCCATTACGAGCTGTGTGGGTTCACATAGCCCAATATAAGTGAGTTTGGCTCGTCTAAGCGCGCCATAAGGCACAGCCAGTGGGATTAAATTTTATCGGCACCGGCGCATGGGGGCGAAGAATTATCAGATCTCGGACTTTGTACAGGCGTAATTCATATTTTTATAATTACCGGTACACCACTTGTGACAAGTATTCCCCCAAAAATGGACAAGTATCGGCTCTTACTCCCTGTTTGACGTCCTCCGTTGAACTTACGTGATTTTTTTGCATATAGAGTATCCAAAACCTCAGGAATGCTAACCACTTATTCAATAATATAGATGGTGAACGGCGGGGGAGCATTCGATTTACTTGTTGCTAAAGTGAAGTCTGGGAAGAGACAGTGTGGGAAAATCTCAAGTAAACTATCATCTAGAATCATCCAGGCTAATCACACCTCCACATCACCCAAATATGCAAGAACCTTCCTAACCAGAATCTGCCTCGGTTCTGCTTGATCGTCATCACTAAGGGCGTGCGATGCTCCCGGGATGATCATACTGCCAGTATGCCACAAGTCTCCGCCCAACGCAGTACGCCATCGCCGCAGCAGAACTTCCTTATCCACATAAGGTGGCACCGACTGATCTCTTCCTGAATACAACACCATCAACGGAGCGTTGGACTTCAGCAAACGCCGATCTCGAACCGCACCAAACGTCCGCTTAAGCGCCTCATCACCCAGATCCGAGCTGAACATATCGTCTTCGTCTGGATTCTGTGGGCTATTGGGACTGACCAGGCTTAAGAACCGTCGGCTACTAACTGCTGTAGCGGCCGGATATCCAATCCGGGCTGTAACGGTCTCCGGAACCAGCGTATCCCGTTTAATGGGCGGACAGCCGTAGTCACTGTCCTGATCTTCGTACGTACTCCTCTGTGCCTCTAGCACTGCCCTCTGACACACCTCCTGCATAGCTGCTGGGCTGTCACGGTCGGTGCCAGTTTTTAACTCCCAAAGAATAGCCTCGCGGTCTGATACGGGGGCCTGGATGATCGCTCCGTCCACCGCGGGCCTCGTAATCTCCGCGGTCCCTTCTACAGAACGAACCTTACCATTGCCTCGTGTGTTCCCGCTCTGTTCCGCGACCTCATCCCTTGGCCGCGGATTCGCACAACTCAAATAATGCAAAATATCCTGACACCCAGTAGAATGCCCCATAACGACAACCTTCCCAGCACCCCAAGTGCTCTCCTTATACTTCCGTGCATACTGCACACACTGTGCAATCTCATCAATATCCCTTCCGATACTCCCAGTCCCCCACCCACTATAGGAGGAGGACAACACGGGCGCAAAAACAGACCATTTAGTGCCGTACAGGGCCTCTATGATGTCGGTGACGTACTCAACCGTGCCGAGGCCGTCACCCAGACCACCGATGAAGATGAGCGTGTGCGGTTTTGGGTGGTGGGTGTTGCGCGTGTATTCAAAGGCCACGAGGCCTGGGGTCTGGATCAGGTTAGCTTACGGTTTGCCTCGGCCGGGTGGGAAATGTACATATGGATGGAGAATGCCCGGGTTTCCCTTAGCGGAGGCTGAAGGGGGGACGCGAAGTTGCATTCTGCAATGTATGTAATCGTGTAATGTCGAAGTAGTGTGGACAGTGAAGATACTGACAGAAATAATTGAAAAAACCAGGCGGCTTGGTCCGCATGCAGCTCGGGGATAGACTACAGTTTAAGTTAATCTGATCCGCTTTATCAATCAGTGTCCACTGTGGGTTGATACGGTATTATAACGAATCTTTCATGGCAAGTTTGACACATAAATTACTGTAAGTTCCGAATGACCGAATGATACAACCATATACATTGTACCCTTAGGCGGCCATAAGGCAGCGAAGAGAAAACGGCAATAACTAATATTGGCCGAGCCTGGAACACTTGACATTATTCTGTATTTCCTGTTATGCATATATTAAATTTGGTCTAGGATATTAGTGGACATTAGATTCTAATGAGATATCTCAGGGTTTGCAGTACAAAAAGGGGCGATGACATCATTGATGTTATTTTACCCCTGATCAAGTTATCGCCAACTGAACAACACCTTGAATTCTATCTCAATGCTACAGTTACTACACGTTTAATATGGCAATTACTCTCCCAACCGTCTTGATTACCGGCTGCAGCGCTGGTGGAATCGGATCTGCTCTGGCTGAAGAATTCCACACTCGCGGCCACCATGTCTTCGCAACAGCGCGTTCTCTATCCAAAATGTCCCATTTGGAGACTCTCCCCAATATAACCCTACTAGAGCTTGATGTCACATCCCAAGAGAGTATCAACACTGCTGTCAGGTCTGTTGAGGCTAAAACAAATGGTAAATTAGACTATCTTGTCAACAACTCTGGCCAGGCTATGACAATGCCTGCGTTGGACACGGATCTGGAACAGGCGAAGAAGCTATTCGACGTGAACTTTTGGGGAGTAGTTGCTGTTACGCAGGCTTTTTCCCCATTGGTAATTACTGCTAGTAAAGGGACGATTGTTAATATTGCTTCGCTTGCGGCTGTTTTCTATGTCCCATGGATGGGTTAGTTACTCGTTTCTATAATGCCGAAACGCCAAGTTGACTCTATAGTTTTCTACAACGCTTCAAAATCCGCAATAAGATCTTATGGCGAAACTCTCCGTCTTGAAATGGCCCCATTCGGGGTCAAAGTAGTGACAGTCATGACAGGCATGGTAGGAACAAACATCAGCACCAATTCTCCAGAGGTCGAACTACCTCCAAGCTCACGGTATCATGGAGCCATTGACCAAATTAATGATCTACGCACGGGAGCATCTGTTGGATCTAGTATGCCTGCCTCGGTATATGCTAAGCGGGTTGTGAATGATGTGCTTCGGGGCACTACTGGCCTCACTTGGAGAGGGAAGATGGCATCTGTGGGACGGACTATTACCTCCATCTTGCCTACCTGGTTGATAGTAAGTATCCTGTATTTCTGGATTGCTTGATAGGAAATACTGACAAGCTTCTAGGACCGCAGTTTAGTTTCTGGGAGAGGATTGGAGCATGTGGGGTGATCGTTGTTTTGTTAGAATGTAAATATGTCATAATACCTCGACTTTTAGACGTCTCGCGCTTGGGCATATCCAATTGGAAAGTTGAGCAGCATCAGTTAGGGCTTTTGTTCTTACATGATGCAGACTCTCTCAATCCTAGTATTCACCAGTCATGACATTATGGTAACTTGTAAGTTAGTGAAAAATGCCTTCGGAAATCGGGCTGGTAGCTTGACGCATTTGCACTCGCACTACGAGGAACTCTGGTACAAGCGTATAGAAGTTTCTATACACGTTAGCCTCGTACGGTCCGAATTATCGACTCCCCGATATTCGATTCTAAGCAACCCGCTTCACGAATCACAGGTCCGAGGATGTAGGATATCCCGTAGCATACTTGTATATGCTGGTTCCTTATTCAGAAGTCAAAGAGTATGACATAACTATATGGGCTCTGTTAAGCGTCTCATATGAACTTGAGGGACTGCAATAGTGAATCTGCGGTCAGATCACCTCAAGCCAACACATGTCACGTGGCGCTCAGCTGGAGACGATCTCTACACCAGGCTAGACTAAACTCGCTGTTGCTGACCCAAAGACCACAAACGACATCGAAGCGCAATGCCTGTTACTTGCTTTGGAAATAGCATCAGACAGGTCTTCAGAAGGAGATTCCGTAAGAAATCCCCCGACAAGACGGACGAGAATGGATATGAGGCAGTGGTAAACCTCCTCTGTAATGCTAAGGAGGCATCTCAGTAGCAAATCACCAGCAAGTTAATACCAGTATAGAATAAGTGATAGGCACAACGGCCCAGCGCCAGACATACATAGCCAACATGTCAAAGGATATCACACAAGCAATACTATCACGGAACGCGAGCATTCACCAACAACGCAAGATGTTTGTATACTTTGGCCTGTTTGAATATAGGGGCAGGAATCCCCTTCGCACACTATTTAGCGCAGCGCTGGCAGGCCCAGCTCCTTTCTTTCTTCCTCCATGTTAGTATTCAGTTAGATAGTCTACCAATAGACTTTTATTATTCGAGACCGTCACAAATATGGGCAAACAGGAACTTAAGCTGCACCACACAAATGTCTAGACTGTTCTCTGCCTGTCACGGGCTCGGAAATAGTAGATACTGACGAGATGATATTCATAAAATATTGTAGCCATCGACGAGAATATTGAATCTGGGAAAGGAGAATAAATGGAAACCTATCCGGGCGATGTGACGGCTTGACATCTTGACATCGTGTATACTGCTTGACGTCGCCCATACGGCTCGACACTACGCATAAGACTAATAATGACAGACGATGCCGAAATGAGTAGGACCTGCCATACAGTGGTTATAAAAAACCCCTTCATCCTCTAGATAGGTTTCCTTTTCCTTCTCCAGACTCGATATTCTCGTCGATGGCTACAATAGTTATCCTATTTAATAATACACTAAACCAATTGCTGTTAAAGTCGGATTAGATTGGATTCGGATTTTTCAAAGTCCAAGCCGCATTGTAATCAGTGACAATAATAACATACAACATCAATTTATTTTCAATAAGCGCTGGCCACTGAAGGGGTTTATCAAGGTATCCATTTCACCGCATGCCCCGATACAACCAAGAGCCCATGGCTCGCAGCCATCTTCCCACACACCTCAGCAGGAGCGATCTCGCACTGGTACAGCGGCACAAGTGCCAGCATCAATCCCACCCCAATACCATTGAAAAGCCGTCCAACGAGGATTATTGCAACATGCACCCAGACCCCTGAATAGCGCTCTATATGATACATGACACGCATGTCTCGATGAAAAATCTGACGCGGCCGAATTTATCAGCCAGGTAGATCGTCAAGAGAGCATCAACTGCACAACCACCGGTGAACAGGCCGAAATCGCGCCTAGAACAGAAGTGCTCTGATACCTGGACCCTTTTTAAGTCGAAATATACCAGGAATTAGTCGAGGCCTAGGACTGATCCGATTACCGCCAGGCTGAAGCAGCATAATAGAAAGCGATATGTACATGCAAAACCGATCTTAAAACTTGGCATAGGGGGTGTTGGGAATGCCGATCGCCCTTACCAATGCAGTTGGTTATTGAAGAATAGGGTTTGGGGATTAAGGTGTTTACCATCTTTTAACTTACTGGTAGTGTGGGGTATAGATAAGGAACCCGGCATTTGCAGGGTCATGGTTGACATCTCCAAGGAAATTCCAAGTCTTCATATACAAATAGAGACTCGTGTTTGGCCCGGTGGCAGAAAGAGACAAATTGTACGACATGCTGTGGAATACCCCAACGCTTTGGCCCTGGAGATAGGACCAGGCATAAATAAATTTCCCCATTCCCCCAGGTTTCCCCATACTTCCCCAATTTCGTGGACCTTACAAATTTGTTATATACGATATCGCCTTCTTTAGATCTTCCTCACGGTAGAATTATTTCGCAAAGTAGAGCATCTTTATTGAGCGTAGTCATGCAACATAGTCTAGATTCGCCGACTAGAACATGCATTCGTTGATCAAAAATTATCAAGTCAGTTCGATAGCAACAATGCCGGCTTAGCCCGGGCTGTTTCATATCCACTCCAGACTTCTCTATTCACTTCCTTCAGCAGGAGGTAAACAGAATCATAGTCGGGCTAAACCACCTTCTCGGAGCCATCGCGCGTCTTACAAAGCTTTCCCTCCGTGGATGTCCCCTTGAAAACTCCGTCAGAGGTAATCCAGAGGAAGGTGACACTGATCTCGTAACGACTGAGATGCCGACACCAGAAAGCCCAATCTTTGAAAAACTGTTCTTCCGAATTTCTATAGGACTTCTGAATAGTGACTTAAATTGGTATGAGCTCAGCTTTCTTGTCTGCTGGGCTAAGTCGCAGAATAACAGCATCAATGGCGGGGAGGTTGAAGGCCTTGGGCACATATAAAGCTCTATCGTGCGCGAGATCATAAGTCGGAAACCCTTCGAAAACAAACTGTGGAATAGGTCCAATTATATCCATGCAAGGAATACTAGTGGCGACGATAGACCGGATAATGGCGTTCTCGAGAAAATAACCGACCACCGACGGATTGCTGATGAGTACACTCATTGCTTCGATGCTATCGTCAATAGAGAACAATATGTTCCCAGTTGAGCCAGTTCTTTTGTAGCTGCCTTCCGGACAGCGCCGCAAATACAATACCCAACTTGGTTTTCCTCGTGGAAGAAACGGTGGTCGACATGTTCGGGAGTGATATCTCCAGGAACAGCGTCTCCAGCAATGCACGCTTTGACATAACACTGGTATCTATGGAAGGTTAGCATGCTATCATCATTATCGGTAACTGCGGGAGTACTTTCTTCAACCATTGCCATTCATTCAGCATTTCCTTCATGCGTGCCGCGAAGCGCTGAGATTGCCGCACCATCTGAAGGACCTCACCACAAGCAAAGTTGACCTTGCCTTTTTCAGTGCAGCTCGCCAGCAACAGTGGGTTGCATCCAGTATATCCTCGATCTCATTTCGGGTGTAGTTTCCAAGATCCACGGTATTATGGTGACTCCACCAAGCATCCATTTCAGTCTATTCAAGTAAAACAAAGGTCAGCTCTGAAAACTTTGAAAGGGAAAAAAAAAAAAAAAGATAACGTAGCGTCAATGCGATTGCCATCTGTCAATATACCCTAGTATATCCAACAAACACGGTGAACAAATAATCATTGTTCTGTTGCAAAGTTGTGCGGTGGAAGGAGATATTGTTCGCGGAAGTGCTGAATACGGTTTTCGCATCGAAGCGGAATCTATCCAGCCAATGGCGTACCTGAGCTTTTGTTTGAGCCTCGTGCTCGCCGTCTAGAGCATTCAACTGGTCCACGACAAAGATAACCGAAGTCGACCAGGTCCTTGTGACGAATCTTTCGACATCATCCATGTCTTGCAGCCCGATTATTTCTTCAGTCTTCTCGGGAGAGTCGGCCCAGGTAAATAGCAAGCATCTTGAAGGTAGCAAACAGGTCTCTTTGACAAACACGGCAATCGGGGAGATAAATGACCCGATAGCCGTACGCTGTGAGGAAGCATGTGAGGACTGCGAGCAGGTATGATTTGCCGTAGCCCATGAGGCCGTATACCCACAGATCTTCAAGCCCAGAGATTGTGTTACCGACTTGAACGCCTCCAAAAGATCAAAGAACACTTCCCGTCCCATATAACGATAGCTTCTCTGGTCTTTTCGAATCATGAACCTTTTTGGCACCATGGTCCCAAGGAATGGGAAGGGAAGGTCCACAGAGATGTTCGGCGAGGAGAGTTTTGCTTTGGCATCGTCCCAATCTTTGAAGTTTCTATCGAAGAAATTGATGATCTGACGACGTTTCTCCTCACAAAGCTTGGCGACAGAGCGAAGCGTTGATGCCTGCTCCTGGGCAAGTTTGACATGTCGCGCAGCATATTCGTCTCGCCGCTGGATGCTCTTCTGGGTGTCTGTAGTATCACCGCTTCCTTCCTGGATGTGCGCGCGTGAGGGACCCTCTGACTGTGCTAGATCGGCTTGGAAGGCTACTTGCAAACGTTTCTCGGGTTCATAATCTGCTAGTTCCGCTTTATCAGTCATCCCTAAAATAAAAGTTAGTAGAAGTATAATATGGTCAAGTGAGAAAGGAGCTTGACCTTTTTTTCTGAGATAATCTTGTTTGATTCTCATACGGCTAGTGCGGGTGCCCCAGGACAGTCCTTCCTGTTTGAAAGCCTCTTCTGTACCACAATACACAAGACTGAAGCCCGTTAGACTACTCTTCTGCATAATTTTGGCATCTGGCTTGGAGATGGGAGCGCCTGTCTGCTCAACCACGTATTTTATCAGCTCATCCGTGGTCGACTTGTCAAAATCAGTATTCTTTGGCGGCATATTGCTCGTCCGACAAGAGAGGATAAGACAAACAACAGGAAAAATATAAATAAAAAATTGATGAAGGACGAAGAGACTATGGCATTGCTTAGGCAGAAGTAGAATAGTAAATAAATTTTAAACACATGACATCACGCGCCAACAGACTTCAAAGAAATGCAACACCAAAATATGGCAGTGGAATAGCTGTGGCCTATCTCATAAACGATAAATGAGAAATCTTGAAACGAGGAATTCAGCATTGCTAGGGTTGAAGCCTCCAAAAGGATAAGTCCGGATATCTCGATTTCTATTTACCCTCTGTATATCCTAGATAGAAATTGACAACGCTAGTCAAGCAAGAACTGTGCATAATACTAATTATACTCCAGGAACAGTACCTAAGTCCAAAGAATAGACTCCATTTCCAGAATCTGCCTCTTCCGTTGAGAATCAAACGGCCTCAATATATCGTCAAGTTGTTCCTTTTCCTCTATCGATAGTGAAACAATTTCGTGATTCCCCACGACGCGCAAGGCTGCAGTAGCTTCTGGAATGGGGATAATCACACCATAGCCAGCAGTCTTGGAGTGCACATGGATCCATCCGAGGTCCAGCTACGCCGGTGACGCGTCTGAGTATGGCAAATTCATGGACTTTGTCGACTGACTCGCGATTCTTAGGGAAGTTTTAAGGGCAGGGTAGTCAGTTCAGTACAACGTTTACTATGAAGAAAGATGTTAAAGGAATCTTACTTGTGGCTGAAAGTGACCAAACATATGGCGAATGTCGCCCTTGGGGATATCATCCAGTTTCTTGACCTGGTCCGTCAAGAACCCGTAACACAAAGGCGCGTAGGTCATGATGGGAATACCCAGCTCTTTACATGTAGCAGTGACGCCATTAATGAGCATCTCCGTACTCCATAGCGAGAACTCAACTTCAACGATTTTGATAGGGCAGACAGCATGCGCCCTCCGGATAGATTGCTCGCTCACCTCAGACAATCCCACTGCACCAATATGTCCGTCCTCCACAATTTCTTCGAGAGCACCCACTGTCTCCTCAAAAGGAGCATTCAGATCGATGCGCGCAGGCCCAAAGACATCCATCTTTTTAACTCCTCCCAAAATGCGGTTACATTCCTCGACACTAGCACGAACTCCAGCTTGATCACAGAGCGGTGCGAGCGCCTTTGCATTACAACAGGCCCCGATGAAAAGGGTGACTTTGTCCGCGTCTTCAGGGTATTTCTCGAAATATCGACAGAGGAAGGTTAGGCCCGCTGTTGGCTCCACGGGCGCCATGCCGTAGATGAATGACGATAACCAGATGGTGGCGCCGTTGGCGATGGCGGCTTTCATGGCGGCGAAGGCTTGTTCGTCGGGGGTGACTATGGGCCGCCATGTCATCCCGGAAAGGCCGAAGCCAGTGGCTGGAAGAGGTGGGGAAGGGGCATAGTAAAAAGCCTTGGTGGTGCGGTTGTTGAGAAGGATGGGGAGTAGTACTATTAAACGATGGCCTTTAAACTAAATGGGATCCTAACTTACGCGAGTGCATTTAATATATAAAACAATAATACATAACAATTCTCCTCAAATCATCCTCATACATCATAAGGCATCGAATTTAAACCCAAAGATAGCAGCTCTAGGTGCAATCGGAGTTAAGGCCCCTGCCAGCTGGCCTGCGGTCATAACAACGAAGAATAGAGCTCTGATCATTCATGTACTTGCCTGATCGACCAAGGGAACTGATTTAGCTGGTCAAATGAGTGAGGGCGAGAATGATCTACTCGACGCTGGTGTTCAGAAATTGACAAACTAAATTGGGGTCCAGAAAGGCAGAAAGACCTTCAATTACAGGAGTACCTGCAGCGGGTAGAAGTAGCCTCGAAGGTTTGGCCATGTAAATACTCTGGTAATGAAGACGAGGTGCTTCTGTATATGGAGGAAATTAGGAGTATCAAAAGACTGTTCAGTAGTCTCAAGTCGTTAATTTAAAGTAGATGCGGTATTACTTGTGTTCTCCTTTTCTAGCATTATGTCTAATTTATGACACTGGGCGCAGACTCAAATGTTACAGCTGTTCAAGTTGCATAGAGACACAGACAGGTTTAATTTGCTTAGATAACGGCAACAAGAATACTGTTCCTTGTCTGTAGACAGCATTCGGCTAATAGTTTAAAGCTGCTTCTCCACGTAATCTTCCTCCAGGTATAGATTCTCCAACATATAATCATACTGCTCATGGCCCGCATCAAGATCCCGTACATGCCTCTCCGTATGTTCATGGAAGAGAGTCGCATTATGTGCACTCGGAAGGAGAACCTTATGTCCCGACTCGAACTCATCTGGAACAGTAATCTCCCTACCGCTCCGCAGGCGATATGTGTTATGTTCGTGGTGGACGGCCGGTGCCCGCTTCTTAGAACCACTGCCACCAATCAAGCCGTTATTATCGAATTGGAACCCGTCATTGTCGCAGTCTGAGCCATCGCCTCGGCAGAAATGTAGGTCGCCTGCCTTGGAGAAAGTCTGTGAGAAGCGAGCGGGCGGGTTGTTGTTCAGGCCTTGGCCGTCGCGCCAATTGCCTTCGGATCTGTAGAGTTGGCGGAGGTAGGCACCTTGACCTGCAGTGAGGTTAGTGGGATGTCATCCTGTATTCCCCGGGTGGGGGCGGGATAGGAGGTAACTGACGGGCGTTCTGGCTTCGGGGTACACATCTTTGTTGATTAGACTGAGTCAATCCATGAATGATTAATGGTGCTTACCGATTAACGGCTCCATCTCTATCGGTACGGTCTGCGTCACTAGTGCTTCCGAATGGGTACTCGTCTGAGCTTATGTCAACGGGAAGAGCTTTTGAAGGGTGCATGGATAGGAGACATACCACTGTTTCTGGTCAGTGACTGATTAAATCCATAGCAGGGCTCAGGGTACCTACCATTGATCTGTAGAAAGACAAGGTTCGCACTGAGTGAGTATCCCTTACAGGACCAAGCAGTTTAAAATGACACATACATTGTTGATCATCAGTTGGGGGATCAGTCGAGCAGTGGTTGTTCCGGCCGCAGCCAGCATTATTCGCACGGACGTCCTTCGAGTTTCCAGTGTAATTGTCCCTGAGTTGACTTAGCCAACGAGTGCGTGAATAAGAGAGTCAGCAGCGTACCAATTAAGCGATGTCCCATAATTACGGCAATAAGCCCCCTTGTTGTTGTTTAGTTTATTTTTCTTCCTCCGGAGGTCAGTATTAAGGAGAATGTACATAACACATGTTCATGCAGACATCTACATATTGGGTCAGCTAGAACCAATAAAAGCGTGGTCCAAGATTTCACTCACCAGGAATATCGGAACAAATCCAGACGATGGTACCTGGGTCGGGCCCATTGGTGGCCTGGCGAATAGCCTTATCGGCGGGAACAGCACGAGCAAGCTCAGTGCCTGCAAGTAGAACAAGAAGGAGCAGAAATTGCATACTAAACAACTCGCCAATGACTGGATTTCTGAGAGTTGACTGTTTGATTATGGAGTGATCCTGGGTTTGTTTATGCTTAAATATATTTTCTATATGCATTAGAGCAGTTCTGGACCTGTTTGTCCTCGTGCATCGCTCCAGAATGGACGGAATAAGAGGATCGGATTTCTTTGGTCAAACCCAGCCATATCCCAGCCTTGTGCATAATGGTGCGTGCGCTATGTATTTTGATGAGGCACGCATCTCGCTTATGCTGGACTAGGGTATCTCAATGCAACATTATTGGCCTTCGGTGATAGAAAACTGACTTCGTAAGAGCCTTCGGTCAATATAATTGGGGATACAAGATGCAGTAACCCAAGACTGGACCAGCTGTGTTCATAAAACCATTTTAAGTATGCTACTAGCGATTTGCGGTATTTTTCAGCCATGACTTAGCACCGGGGCCGAAGATGTGAGTACAGGTGTGTGATACTGACTCATTCGAGCACCACGAAAAACTGTGCAATCTATGTACAATCTAGACTAGCCATCTTGATCCGTAATATGCTGCAGTCGAGTCCTGGCGATTAACCTGGCTCGTTCTTTTAAATCAACACCAATGCAGGAGCAGCGATATTCATTGGTCCGTTCTATTCATCGATCAATTGTCATAAGACATATGAAGAGAAACACAGCCTCCTAAAATCAAAAACCTCTCACTTACGCACCTCATAAACTGTCGATTATGCATCAGGGATGGCACACTAAGAAGATGGGGCTCCTAAAAGCAATATGTTGGCTGAGGGCTGAGGGCTGAATAGGGCAACATTACGTCATTGTACATATCGGCTATTTAAGCCCAGCCATATTGTCGTATCTTTGTTCATGGCCAGCCTGATTCACATTGCTGCTACCAATTATGTCTGGTAACCTTTCTACATTTCCGATAGAGCCAATCCAAGAGTTCGTCGACGCCAATTCATTTCCTGATTTTGGGTCTTCATCCTTCCCTCTCTTCGCCTTGGGCCCGGTACCATACTCAGTTCTGAAGGATATTTCAGCAACAATCAACGAACAATCCCGCTCAGAGCTTGGCTTCAGCCCCGAAGAATACAATGAACTAGGCCCTGTCATCGACGTCCCAGATAAATGGGACCTAAGCGGCAAAAGCCTAGACGACGCCGCACACCACCATTTCTCTCTATTCAACCCGTGTGAGAGACTTCCAACGGGAGACCCGAAGTGGTATCCTGTTGGCTTCGTACTCGCTCTTAAGAACGACTGGAGGGATAAGGGGCTTATCCTGGCATATTTACAGAAGGAGGATGGGTATCTGGCGCTCAAGTCGTGTGTGGTGAAGACGGATGAACTGGGGGAGCAGTTGGTTTCATTTAGGCAGGGGGATGCGGAGTTTGATTATGCTCGGGGGTTCATTGAGGCTTGATATAGATGGGTCATGGTCGAGGGAGGTATTTTGTATAGCTGAACGTGGGAGTGCATGATCCGATACTCTTTCCAATAATGCATTCCCAACAGGCCAACGCACTAAGCACTGGGTTATATTTCATGATAGAGCTAGAGATAAATGTATTAAATTTATCCGCTCCCCACAGCCAGATTCTCGTCTTTGAAATCAGGGCTTCGACCCTAGCCACTAACAACCGCCCACCGACGCATACTGGTGGCTCAATCTCTGAATTTTCATTTCAGACCACAATTCAGCTACCAGCACCGTCAGTTGAAACCTCCCCAATCCATTAGACAATAACCAGCAAACTCCATCAAATCATGGCAGTATCATGACAGGACACATCCCACCCAAACATGCAGCATATGCCACACGAACTCAACTTCTGTCGCTTCAACAGTCAGTATAGTCTATTACTAGGGTGATAGAACATGTCGCTGTCCGTCTCTTGGTACAGCAGAGCTCTATCCAGAATGGACCATTGATACCAATATCAGGGAGCTCAAACCAGGAACTCAATCGTTCTATCACACAGCTCCTATTACATGACAAGCGCAAGAAACAATGGTACGTTTCTTTATTTACTTCCGGATGACTTTGGATCGTGTTTCTGCCCATCGAACCATCCATTGAGTCCAAATCATATCAATCACGAAATCGTTTTGCAGCAGCTTGGTGATTTCAGGATTCTCAACCCTAAATAGTGGTCCCAGCTTCAATCTCACTCCCTGTCGTTTAACAAAACGGCAAGAATCTACCGATCAGGTTCCAGATGATATGGGAAACCAGTTCATGATGCCGCCTGTTCTCATCGTTAAGTCGTGTTATCAATTCTTCGAATCCCGGCTGTTGTAGTACTCGGAGATCCTGGAATATGCTTTATGAATAATGGTCAGTCTTTATATATACCGCGGTTCTTATACAGTACAGGGGAAAACCAATCCTTCTATCCAATACAAGGCATACAAGTCTAAATATGCATTCATCCAAAATGCAATGCGAAATACAGTATACCACACTCAAGAATAAAATCAACCAAAACTCCTACCCTATCAAGTCAAATCAAATGAAATCATGCTAGATAAAACTATCCCAGGCCGGTTAGGCTCGTCAGCTCCGAGGTGCACTAGTATCCAAGTTCTGCGCCAAAACACCATTTCCCCCGTCTTTCCGTCTTATGAAAGAATCCCCAGAGTGTATAGACCAACTTGCCCGGCCAAGAATGACAAGATACAATGCGCCGTATTCCAAAAAGTAGATGAGGATCTCAAACCGTGTATGAACGACTCCCAATCGCCATAGCTACATGTTGAACACATCCAAAACATAAAGTAGCCAAAAACAAAGTAATCAAAGTAACAAAGTAAAAATGCTCAAGGGGTATAATCCAATGCCAATATCAATATACCAAGATCAAGTCAAGTCAAAGCTCATCATAACCAAATATCACCCTCCTCGCCCTCAACCCACCTCTTCCAAACCTGCTCATAAGCATTCTCCAAATCACGTACCCACCGCGCGGTATCGAAAAGTCTGCTCTCTCGTCTCTCTGAGAAGATCATTTCGCGGAGATCTGAAAGGCGGCCTCTTGCGCGGCCGTTTCCGCCAGATATGTATTGTGTGCTTGTGCATAGGCGGAAAGCTTTTTCTTCGTAATCCTCGTCGGATGAGGCAATTAGTTCGGTTTGTGCTTGGCGGCCTAGGTCGGTGTTGGGGAGGGCGCTGCTGAGGATGCTGCTCGCCATGCGGGAGCACATTTTGTATTTATAGCGGGGGTATGTGAGGAGGGGAGTTCCGCTCCATAGGACATCTGTTGCTGTTGTGTGGGCGTTGCATTCGGGGGTGTCAAGAAACAGGTCCAGGATTTTCGCACGCGAGATGTGAGTGTTCTTGGGCGCCACATCTGTAAAGATGATTCGAGATGCAGTGTCTGGGCCTGCCCAAGCAACAGCCGTGTCCCGGAGGTTCTGCTCTCCGGTCTCGGGGAAGCGGAGCAGCCAGAGCACAGCATTAGGAATCCGTGCAAGTATACGAAGCCAGGTTCGGAAAGTCGTTGGCTCAATCTGGGTTTGTTAGCTGTGTCCAATCAAACAAATTGGGGCGCACTCACTTTGTACAACTGGTTAAAATTACCAAGTATAAGGACGTCATCCCTAAGGTTGGGGAAGAGCTCCTTTCGCATCCGCCACCGCAACTCTTGCTCCTGATCCCAGGTCAGACGGGCCTCATGTGCATCTGGCGCACTTTGTCGGTGATCGCAACAGAAGAATGTATCACGGGTGTAGACAATCTTCTCCCCATACACCCATCCTTCCATGTCTTCGCCATGGTCTTCCTCAAGGAGCCGCTCCTCCATCAACGTTTTGCGTCTACCTGGACTCAATGTCTCAGGGGGAATTGACAGCTCATCGGCAAGGATGTAGTCACACCATTCGGCACCAAGGGTGCCCGCAAACCCCATAAAAGACATATGGATCGGTGCAGGTCTAGCAGCAAAGACCTCGTTCCGGGCACCCCGTGTGTAACCGTTCAAGTTGATTAGGATGTGAATCCCATCCTCAACGATCTGGCTGACAAGTCGATCAACCGACCAGGCACTGGCGTCGTGGAAGACAGGTGCTTCTTTTTCAATTTGCTGACGATGGATGGACCGGTCGCTTGGAGTGGTGGCGTAACAGTATGCCTTCACCTTGGACGGATTATGCAGACCAAATACAGACTGCATCAAATGGGCAAGGGGATGGTTGTTGAAATCTGACGACACATAACCAACCTTGAGGTAAGGGTTAGGCGGTGCCGGTGGCGGATAAACCGTGCCGGGAAGCCACGGTGCACGAAGGGTCGATGACGAGATACGAAGACCGTTCCGCTGTGAGATCTGTCGCACCTGTTTCGCAGAAAGAGGACAAGTAAACGTGTGGAATGGTAGGACCGTTGGCGCATTCGGTGCTGTAAGCCCGGCTGGGAGCTGAGGTCTCCTGTACTTGGTCCATGGATATTCCTTGCCATGAACGTAACGATCCTGGTACCACTGCCAAGTGAGCGAACGAATCGCACGCTCAACGAGCCGCACAATCCGGGATCCTTCCCATCTCTGGCCTGCCCATGACTGCAGAATCGAGACCAGGGAGCTTTTCTGACTGGATGAGAGACGGTGGCTGTCCACGGCTGGAGCCAGCTGCGCACACAATTGGTCCACCATACCCGAGGTCAGCAAGCCACGACCCCAGGTTTCACCCTCACGGAGTTGCCGATCCACGATATCTACCACGCGTTTAATCCAGCCGGCCCCTGTATCAAGGCTGTACGCGTCACGCAGCATGCCTTGTTCATCGACATGCCACCGATCCCGGAAGCCATGCCCATTGGCGACTCCACCACGGCCTACCCAGTTGCAGACCGAGTTCAGAGCGTTGGCCAATCCGCACACTGCTTCCGCAAACTCCGGATTCACCTTCACGGCCCGCTTGTAATACACAATCGCATCGTTAACTCGGCCAGCATCCTTGACTGCGTTCGCCAAATTCGCCAAGGCAATGTCGAAATTGTTGTCACACGAAACAGCTTGTTCGTACATTCGAATAGCCGCATGGAGCTGACCGATATCCTTGAGCAGGCTACCAAGATTGGTATACAGATGCGCGTGCCGGGAATCAAGACGCAGTCCGTAGTTGTAGTACGCCAAAGCAAGTGAGATCCCGCTTCCAGGGATCACACCAGGTATGTCAGGGTGCTGTATTTCACCGCTGGAACGAGCAGGGCTCTTCCCTGGGTTGTTTTGAATACCAGCAAGCAAAATTCCCACATTGTTGGCCGTAGACGGGCTTTGTTGAAGCGACAGTGAAAGGTAGTAGAGCGCCAAGATGTCGCGAACGCCAGGAGCAGACCTGGGAGCACCCGACGTGGAGATACTAGACATGCCATCCTGGTAGATCTTGGCAAGAGACAGCAGAGAGTTGCTAGTTGTCGAAATCGCAGCTTTTCGTGCAAGACCCTCTGCGACAAATTTGATCCCTGGTGGTGTGCCGCACGGTGAGAACACCAATTTCGATGTCTGTAGAGCTTTGTCGGGATACAACAGGATCGTTTCTCCGTTGTCATGCTGGCCCGACGAATAGGAGCCATACGAAAAGGCAGCAAAGATCTGCTTGATAAGACCTCGAATGCCGTGGAGTCTCCGCCCAGCCGTAATCAAGATGGCATCCTCAAAAGCCGCGGCGGCTCTCGCGTTATCACCCAGTGCATAGAGCATATTCCCCTTAGCGTGTACGAGGGCCAGCATTCTGCCATTGTCGGCACCGGGTATTGCGTAACCACTGGAGGCGAAACCCAGCGGCCGGTTATCCGGAGCACATTGATCGAATGAAGTTGGATGTCCAGTTGGGTGCCCAAGGTCATTGTCGTAATCGAATGACGCCTTCTCATACATACACATATCAGACGCGCTTTCTGCATCACTCTCGGGCTCACTTGCATGCTCGTCGGTCGTGAAACAGTCCCCGTTTTTCGGATGCCGCAGGGACGTTTGTACGTATTCGATGATGTTAACTGCTTCTTTGCCGCGGTGTGTGTTACACAAAAGGCCCACAAGATGTTCCACAGCTTCAAAAAAGCTTGGGCGCAGCTTGACAGCACGTAGCCAGTGGTGTAACGCTTCTTCCCGGCGATCAAGGGCCAGAAGAGTCGCTGCCAGATTCGATATAGCCTCAACATGCCTAGATCCACGGAGTTAGTATATTATGTCAGATACGGTACCACGCAAACCACTCACGTTGTATCTCTGGCCATTATCCTAGAGTACCATCTCATAGCCTTGTGGTAGTCACCAAGACCATAAGCCAGGCAGCCTCCCAAGAGCATTCCGTCGATCCATTCCCACCCGCTTTCTATGCAAAGGTGGGACAGCATCTCCAGTGCTGATACAGCACTGGCGCTCGGATTCTCGTTGAAGGGGTCCGAGGGGAATCGGGAAGCAGATGTTGTGAATCGTCCCGTATGGCGCAGTCTGTCGATCATCTGCATGTCAGATGCGCCGTAAGATGGTTGAAAAGGGTGGCGGCTTGGTTGGGAGAAATCTAGACCAGGCTGACGTGGCGGTTTAGGGTAGATGCTGGGTTTCAGTAAGCGCTGATTGTGAACATCCCCGGTGTTACTGGATATGCTATTCCGACGGGCCTGGTGAATGGAAGCAAGGAGATCAACGTAAACACCGTGGGCCCACGATAGGACTTTTTCTTTGAACTCCCCATTCGTCGTCCGTAGATTGTGACCAGGCAGTGGATGCTGTAGGCTTGGCCACGGGGCGAATGGCTCGTTGCTTGGCGGATGCGAGGGGTAAGGTGCGGTATTTTGGCGCGAGTGACTCGGCAGGACCTGTTGGTTGAGGGCAGAGTCAAGGGGTTTCTGGTCTGAATAGCGCGGCGGAAAATTGCTCTTGACCGTGGAGTCAAGATTCAGCATCCCCAAAGGCGCTGGATTCCAGGCGACGGCTGCATCGTGGTGGTTCCCGGGGGGTATCGAGTTCTGACCGTTCAAGGATGGATCGTAGAATTGCATGTTCGGGTCCGCAAACGAGGCCGGCGAGTTGAATCGTGAATCTCGCAGTGCGGCTGGACGATATGGGATGTACACCCCATCGGGCCAGTAGGGGCCATAGGGACCGCTGCCGGCAGATGCTGTTGGACCAACGCACTGTTGAAGAGTAGCGGGCAGTACTGTAGGAACGTATGCGCCATCGTGTAGATAAAACCGCTGTTGCTGCATGGGTAAAGTTTGATTGAGAATCGAGTCCATTCCAGGATCATAATTCATCGAACGTACCCAGCCGGTCCCATTTGCATCCTGTGTCAAATCCCCCGCAACCGCAACACCTCTGATCGCGTCATTCTTGTTGTATACGGGTGGAAAGTTCGAAGGCTTAGGCCGCGACGACTGATCCAGGACGGGTTGCTGCCAGTTCTCCATTGGGAAACCCGTCTGCGGAGAAAGGACCTGTCCCGCTTCCAATGACGACACCAAAATGTGTTTGCTGGCTGGAGGCTGGATGGTGGTATCCCCAGGGGTCCCATCATATCCAGCTGAGAGCGTTCCATTTGGCGTTTTCCTCCTTAGCGCGTGTTCACCGACGGCGCTAGGACTCGAGCTGGCAGCGGCGTTATCGCGCAGATCAAGACGTTGGATGGGATGCGGGTATTGTAATCGAGTCCTAGGGATCGACTGGTGAGAATTTTTGGACGGGTCATTTCGAGGGAGCGACGATGGAAAGGCCGAGGTGAAGGCGTAGGACGAATTAAGGTTGCCCGGGGCGTGATAATGGCTCATGTGATGATGTGGCTGAAGTGACGGAAAAGGCGCCACGGAAGGTAACATCTTTGCAACCTGAGTGGGGTAAATGCTTGTTCCTGCGTGTCCACTTTTCACCGTTATAGATAAAGGAGAAGGGGATGGAAAAAAAAAAAAAAAAAAAAAAAAAAAAAAAAAAAAAAGGAAAGAGTCAAGAGTCAAAGAAACGAGTCGACGTCAACAATTGAGGGGCGGTGGTATAATGGCGGTATTAAGTCGAGAACGAACAGGGGTATTTTCTCCGTTTCGAAATTCGATCCCTGCTGGTGAATCAACAAGAAGCATCCTCCTTGAAACGTTTCCGACACCTCATTATGGACCTGAACCGGTATCACTCGACATTCAACGGGACCCCCCACCACTGGTCCCCGGACGCGACATCAACACGAGCAGTGGTGGACAATTTGAAAGGGCGAATTACCAACCAGACAGGGGTCTGGAGAAGGGGTATAATCAGGTCGGATACAGAGTACAGTCGGGACGGTAGGTGGCTCAGGGATAGAGGGGGTGTTATTCTAGAAAAGGGCGTGCGACGCGAGAGTATGAAAGCCGTCCGAAGTATTCCGTGTGTTCGTTGGAGGTGGGAGCGGGAAGCAAGGGAGAGGAGAAAGGGATCAGGCTCGACAGTCACAGCCCTAGTCAGTTTCTCGAGAGCAGTCACCCTAACGCAGGCGTCCGTCGCGATCAGTCGAATTCCGAATGTTGAGCTTGGCAGATATGCTGTGTCCAGTACAAACGGCGAACCAGCTCGGCGACGCGAAACAGAGCGAGTAAAACGCTTCGATCTGGGCGAATCAATTTGAGTGTTAAGGTGTCCCAGAACAGCTAAGCATAACACCAGGATCGCAGGGCTTCCTTCTTTTTTTTTTCGGCGCTTCGGTTGGATTCTTTGTGTTTCTATCGATAAGATCGGACTGGGGATATGTTGACTCGAGAATCCCGGAGAGGAAGACAGGGAAACGGAAGAGACAGGCTAGGAACGAGACCAGGAAGAGTCTGAGATGGAAAGAGAAAAGAGAGAGTTAAGTTGGGCCAAGTAAGCGTGGGTATGCTGGTGAGGTGGAGAGAGGACGAGCCGAGACACCAAACCACAAGTGTACTAGTGAGGAGTAAAAAAGAAATGGATTGATAACGCCCTATTGCCAGCACACAGGAAGAGATTTTATTTAAGTCAAGAGAGAGGGAGGGAAAAAAAAAAAAAAAAAAGAAGCAAGTGAACGAAAAGAAAAGTAAATGCAGCAGAGGTGCGCGAATGAAAAGGATGAAAGGGTGTGTTGAGAAGTCTGGGGTATGGATGGGAGTCACGGGACTGGGAGAGAACGAAATTAGAGTGGATGCATTGACAGGCCCAGCCGGAAACGACTGCGAATCGTCTAGCCATATTACGGGGCTGGTGGGGTCTGGTGTGCTAGGGCCTTGGCTATCTATTCTTATACGGTAGATAAGTACAGCGTACAGAGCAGTTACTACGAAGAGTACTCTTGACTAATTATAAAATTGTAGATTACCTCTATCTGAGGCTTGCTCTGTATTATACTGATAATCATATAGGAGAGAGGGCAAGAGCAGAATTCCGATCTCAACGTCACTGGTCTGTGGCTGCGGATGGGGGAGTGGACCGGTGGGGAGCGCCCGGCCAGGATCATCAATGGATATTTATGTAGTATTATGCTGGAAGGAACGCTGTGAATCCAGCGGTGAATGCTCTGGGAAATGAGCTGGCATATGGGATGTGCTCTGTATGTATGGCATTCTGTACAAGTACTTTGCAAGGTGGTGTGCATGCATACATTCCCTATGTACTGAACATAGGTATACAGTACAGCAGTAGAGCCTTGTGGAGCATAGTACTCTCGGATCAGACTTTTCTCAGAGTTTTTTCCAGAGTCAAGAAAAAATGAAAAGGAAAAAGAAAAATGGGCCATTTACGGGCCTTGATGTATCTTGTACCATAGCCCACCACGTGACCCACATGAAGATCGAAGGAATCCACTCAGCCGTACCTTGTCTCTAGGGATAACTCTTCAGTACCCCGTCCTCTGTGCTACCACAACATATACACCGGGTATCCAATGCATACTGTATAACTACCAAACCGTTGCAGAATCCCCCCTGTATGTGTCATTGATGTGTGTGACCTGGCCCCTGTCCAATCACATGCTAAGCGCTCGTATCAGCCCATCAGCCATACGAGGACTGCCCTAGCTGAAAAATCAAGGGTCTCGACTGGGGCATGGACACGCGTGATGGCTAGTTGGTTATGCTGAGAAGAGTTACATAACGAGTACATTAGTCTTGGGTCTTGGCATCTGTCACCCTCACCTTTTCTTCGCAAACCACTTCCAGATCAGGTGCTCAGCCACTTCACTGAATTAGTGATAGCCTCAACCAGGGCCTGTCCTTTTGGGCGGTCTCTCCGACTGACCAGGTTTCGTCCTTTTTCTCTCACTGCCAGGAACGATGACAAGTCTGCTGTGACCAGGTCGAACCTTTTCTTCATCCACTTCTCTCTGCATCACTGCGTACAGGCTATCGGCGATATCTCGACGTATAGGGGATACCCGACTGCCCAGCCGGTGTATGCTTTACCGCCGATTTGTATTCGACGACTACAGATGTGCTGCCGTCTGTAGTCGTCGGTTATTAAACCGGTAACTTCTCTCCCGCATGCACCAGGTACGAAAGCAAATTGTAAGGAATACGTGGAGCACTACCCCGTTCCGAGTCTAGGGGAGCAGGCTGCCGCGCAGAAGGTGTCCGGTGTTACGGTGAGTACCAACAGTTGTGATTTTGTGTTGGCAAGTTATGAGGTTGGTATGGCGGAGTTTCTGGCGTGGAATCATAGTTTGAAAGGTATGAAGCCTTGTATGTTGCAGAGGGGGTTTAGTCATTGTGCGGCGAATGTGACAGATGAGGGGGGTGGAACTACTACTGGTAGTAGCTCGGGGAATGGAGGTTCTGTGTTGCCCATGTCAATGCAGTTGGTTATCATTAATAGGGCTTGTGGCTTTAGAGAATGAGATGAGTATGTTTTCAATTCTGGAAATGCATCGTGGTAGCAGCAGTGAAGGATCAATTCCCTTGGTATTGAAGATTGAAGCTGCCAAAGGAAAAAGCTAAATGGGATGCCAGATTGGCAGCTTTTGACGCGTCCTATGTATAGTAAGCCAATGTGAATTCTCACCTGAAATGTAGTAAAGATCCATAACAGCAGTCAAACAAGAACTACGTCGACCTCACTGTCAATAGGAAAATATTGGGTGCACCATATAGCATGCAGCCAATCCCCTAACGCCGCTGCGATTGACTGTGCCCTGTCTCTTCCTCCATGTGCCCTTGAACGACTCCTTAAACTCTCCTTCCTTCAAAGCCATAGCCATCCGCGCGGAAGGGTCTACAATCGTGCCAACTTCCGAAATGGCGGCCTTGTGCCCGTCATTCTCGAGAGGCCTCCAGCCTTCCCCCAGCTGCTCGGTTACATGTGTGGCAAAGGCAGCGCATAGCTTGTCGCTGGCTTGAGAATGCTTTGATCGTACGACAATTGGTTGATTCTAGCCACTCATTCTCGCCGTCAATGATTGTGCGCCATATCGATGCTCAGGGCCCACGATACGTCTGGCTTTCTCCCTATTATCCCCAAATTTGTTTGAAGGGATGGTGTCAACTGTGAGTGGGTCAGTAAGACGTCGGGCTGATGAAGGAAGTATAGCCCTAGACGGAATGACCGCATTTCGCGACAAGGGGCGAGATGGCCTAGGCCCCTAAGCAAAAGGACATAATCCCGGATCCTGTAAGGTTAATCTCACATAAAAAGGTAACGTAAATAATTCAAACCTGGCAGTTGATGAGTGACCAATATTGGCTTGCAGTAGTTGAAGGTAAAGTATTTTCCTGTTCTATTTGAAGGAATCGCTGGATCTTGCCAAAAGATGCTTTGAAGCAACCACCGCTCCATTCAATATTGTCTACAGTGTCTTCAAAACTATTCTATACTGCAAATCAAGAAGAACATTGACTCCTTTAGCATTGTTAAGTTCCTTGCAGCCAAGCTGTGATTCATAGCCTCGCGAGGCTGTGCCCCCGCGCAAGACTCGTATAACCCCCTTTCATCCTCTCCCACTATTCAAGATTTCAAGAAACAGACCATGATACAAAATCGCAATCACCATGTCCGGTCTCGAAGCCGCCGCCCTCGCAGCCAGCATCATCCAAATCGCCGACATAGGCATAAATCTCTCCATAAACCTCTACAATATCTACCACAAGATCAAAAGCGCAGATTAAAGCCTCCAGGCTCTTTCAAGCGATATCGTCCTGATATGCAACGTTCTCCAACAATTAGGAAGTACCCTGGAACAAGACGACGAAGCCAGACTATGTTCTCCGCAGGCCCTGATCACCGCCAAAGACGTGCTGGATGAGTGTAAGAGGGTTTTCCAGCGGATCAACGGTGCGATTCGAAAGTCGATTGTGGCCTCGGGGATGAGTCAGTTAGAGCGCGCTGTCAGGAAAGTGGTGTTTGTGTTGGAAGGGTCGGGATTGGATGTGCTTCATGGGAACTTGGGAAGTTTGAAGGCGACAATGGTTCTTATGCTTAATGTTGTCATGTATGCAGGGCAGATCCGGAGATGGGTAGTTCTCATGCTTTACTGCAACTATGCGTCAATTGAAGGGTTGATGGATAATGACCGGTCACAGTTGATCCGAAGCAACCGCTCTGGAAGACCAGCAGAACCGGATGAAAGACCTCATGCTAAATCAACGCGAGAATGAGATTAGAATCAAATACCTCGAGATCGCCCAAGCTCGAAGCAAAATGGAAGATTGAACGATCACGGCGACACGAGCTGATTCAATACTCAATAATGCCTCGATTTTCACTGCTCCAGTTCATTTTCCAAAGGCCGAAATGAGAGAATATCATCGCCTGATTAAGACTATATTAGCCGATATCGACGCCTGCAAAGTCCATCTTGAACGAAATCGCTATCGCAGAATCAGAGATGGGTTTGGACGCTACACATGGAGAACGACAGGTTCGATGCTAGTCTGATTCAATCGATGAAGCCAAACTTTCCTGGTCTTGTTCCTAACAGGTGCGTGTTTTTCTTCCTTTGAAGTTCGATTGCGCGCGATGATGGAGAATGATGATGCTGATTCTGTAGAAACCCTCCTATGTCTGAACTGGGTCTTTCGGGGGAGATTACTCGTAGGGCCTGTAGAGAAGTAATGACCATGAGCAAAGAGGAAACATTACCACGCCGACGTCTCAAGGGACCGAGAACCAAAGGACCAGAGATCCGCTTGGTGTGGAAATGAAGTCGTTGATTATGGAATGGACGACTTTGGAAGAACTTTAGTAGACGCTCTACCATAGGAACAAAAAACTTGGAGCATTCAAAACAATCCAATGATATTCACTAACTACAAGCTTACAATCTATTAAAGTATGTTGACCGAAAACATGGACCACTGTAACCACAAGGACAAGCAAGCTTGCCACAGAGGTTACCGCGGTGAGTAGCGGGTCGAAGATTTTATCTTCTTTGCGAAAAATAAGCCTATACCACATAAAGGTCCAATCCAGGCCCGGAGGCGGGAAGGGACGGTAAGGGCCAGAGTGTGCAAAGGTTGGAACTGGGAAGTTTGTCTCCGACATGGCTCAACTTGCACGGGGCAGCAAGGAAACCATGAGAACAATATGAAAATATGGATTTGGAACGGGAAAAAAAAGAAAACGCGCCTGGAATTATTGTATCGGGAATCTGGAAGGTCATGACTTCGTAAAAACAACTTTTTGGTATCTCGTGTTTTGTGAAGGCAATTTTCATATTCTTCGTAACTAGCACTGCGAGCAGCCGAAAAGCATGCCATCACAAACCAGACGAAAGACCGCCGTTAATTAATTTACTCGGAGGGGACTGCAAACAATTAGCAACATCCAAAAACCACGAAACAATCAAAACATACTGTCAATCTCGCCAGCCTTGACGTCGTCAGAGACGTCCTTGGGGCTGCGGCCGTCAATGCGGCAACCGACGGAGAAAGCGGTACCGAGGATCTCAAGGACGGTACCACGGAGCTCCTTGGCCAAAGAACGGTGGCGCATGGTGCGGGCGATCTCGATGATGTCGTCGAGAGGGATCGACTTGGTGTGCTTAATGTTCTTCTCCTTCTTGCGGTCACGGGGGGGCTCCTTAAGGGCCTTGATGACCAGAGAGGAAGCAGAGGGCACAACGGAGATGGCGGCCTGACGGTTCTGGATGGTGAGACGGACGGTCACACGGAGACCCTTCTGCAAAGCGCGAAGAGAGCCTATTAGTCTTTGTTCGTTCGTTTGTCGCATCATGATCGGTTTGGTATCCTTACCCAGTCACCAGTGTTCTTGGCGATATCTTCACCGATCTTCTTGGGGGACAGACCGAGAGGACCGATCTTGGGAGCCAGAGCGGACTGGGCTCCGACCTCACCACCAGTCACACGCAGGTGACTGTAAAAATGTTAGAAACATTATTCTT